ATATATATATATATATATATATATATATATATATATATATATATATATATGCATGCATCACATATGCATCACATGGCAGCTGATTGGTTCTCTCCTGTATCGGTAGCCAATGAGCTCGCTGCTCAGCATTCAAATATATGACTAGTGCTTGCCGTAGCAGTGCAACTTGCTTCAGAAGCCCTCCACCTTCCCCAGCTCCACCTGTATAGATCTACTACGAGGTGATTCATGTATGCTATATGGGGTTATTTCATGTATGTTATATTTGCAGCAGCAATATTTCTTACATTCTCACAGCATCATGTTGTGGATGTATTGGCAGTAGCAGGTCACGTAGCAGATCTATTCCGCCAAGACCAAACACATTACTGTACATTACTATGCTAATCTCTCTGAGAGTTGTCATGACAGAAATATATATATATATATATATGCGCGCATGTACATATTGGTGATATTCACCAGTATTGGTCGTGATATTGACAGGCTTTGTTTAATATGGTTTCAGATTTTTGAGGGTTATGGGCAGACGGAGTGCACCGCTGGATGTACCTTTTCTATGCCTGGTGACTGGAGTGCAGGTTTGTGCTCATGTGTCTTTATAGGGCTGCTTTAGTTATGAATGACATACTACCTACTAGTTTTGAAAACGTATTATGCATGGGTACCCAGATGACCTGCCACATCAGTCAAAATGTGCAGTGTTTGTCATGATTGTTTCCAGTGTGAACCATGATTTTATCACTCAGACAGTATTTCGGATGCAACACATTTCATAAAGAACTTACTTTGCCAGCGTTAAAGTAAGTTCTATGTAGTATGCATGCGTGTAGTATGAATCTATGAGTTTTCTTTGTCAAGTGATCTGCCAGCGTCATTTGTCTCATATTTGTGAAATTCATGAGTCATGACTCCTCTCTCCACAGCCTTATGGGACAAAGTGCCCAGAAAAAGTTGGCGATTCTGATACTTTTAGCCTACTTTTTATTGGTATGAATGCTTTGAATTCAGACATACTATTCATTTCATATACAGCTTTTCACCTGTTATATTGTAGGGAAGAAGGCCGATTTGAATGCAGGGATTAACTTTAAAGCTTTCGTTGAATTCAAAATGTTAAATTGACATTTATTTCTGCACTTGCTTAATCAAATATGCAGCAGAATAACGCGGCCATGTGACTATTGTTGCATAATGTGCTTTGTTTCACATACATCACCATTCAAAATTTGAGGTTGATCAGATTTATTAATGTTTTTGAAAGAAGTCTCTTCTGCTCACCAAGGCTGCATTCATTTGATCAGAAATACAGTAAAACAGTAATAATATGAAATGTTATTACACTTTTAAATAATTTTCGGTAACATTTTTGAATGCGTTTTAAATGTATTCCTGTGATGCAAAGCTGAATTTTCAGCATCATTACTCCAGTCTTCAGTGTCACGTGATCCTTCAGAAATCATCCTTCAGCGAGCAGATCGCACAGATGTACAGTAAATCATCCATATAGACCTCACACGCTCTCCACATCACATTATCCAGTGACTTTCTCGAAAACATTTCAACTTAACAAGACTTGCTAAATAAGCCAGATGCTACACTGACAAGAAACTGTTCTCCGTAATTTATGATAAATCGTCTTGAAGACTGAGTGAGGTCTTCTCATGTAGTGATCTAGGTCATTTTAGACCGCTTTCAGAGTTTGAACTGAGGTCATGTAGGCCTGACACAGACACACTCCATCCTAATACGCAGTTCAGGAACATTCGATTTGCGAACCGATGAACTTAACGGAATGAATAGCTTTACACTAAGTAGATGTTTTAGAGTTTGTAATTATGAGGTTGAAGCTGCACCTCTAAAGAACAATCGGTATGAATTTCAATGCTTCATTTCATTTGTTGTGAAATGAAATGACTGTGCGACAGTCTGTAAATGAGCGTTTTCAACTCTAAATGTTTGACTAATTGCAGCTGATAGAGATGTACTGTATTTTACTTCATTTTATTGACAGAAGAATAAAGACAATGCCTTATTACAGATTTTCCTTTGTATACCAATCACAGCTCTAACGGACACAATCTATAAAATCACAGTTGTTGTTTGAACTGCAGATCTGATCATTTCACGTGGATGTCACTCAGGAAACTTTGTGCTTTAGTGCGCTGAGCTGTTGCTTACAAAAATACTTAACTGGTTCATTCCCAAGTGAATCCCAATCCTGCCCAGACTGCAACATCATAAAATCAGGAGACAAACGGTGAACGTCCACAACCAATTTACTGTAAGAATGTTTGACAAACAACCGCAAACAGTTTGTTTAAAGGAAAACTATTTGAGAAATTGAAAGATGCATAATGCACACATTTTTGGAAATCATAAGGCTGTGGTCCAGAGTCTTAGAAACAATGTTTTAGATTATTTCAGAAGCAAAGCAGGAATGTGAAAACACTGTGTAATGCTTACATTCAGTTTCTTGGTAGACTTGCACTGAATTCAGGTTAATATCTAACAAGGCACATTAATAATCCAATTGAAATATAGTCAAACTCAACCAATAATCTGTACAATCGAGGCTCTTCCAGTTTCAAAACACTAGTGATTGTCAGCAACTGATGCTCTTCACAATGTTGACATTGAGATGAAAATGTGTGGCTTAAAAAATCGTCCCTTGTGTAATATGGCTGTAAGACTACTGGTAAATAAACCGGTCTTTCCTTCATTACAAACACAGTGAACACAAACACAGGTCAGATAAAAAAGAATACATGTTTCACGTGTGTCAGTAGAGGGAGGCAGAGTATCATTTAAATGCATGTAGTACATCACAGAATCCAAATCAGCGCTGGTCTCTAGAAACTAAGGCTAACATGATTTCTGTTAACGGACTGTACTGTAACATATTTCCAAGATATCAATCATCAACAATTCTCTGCACTATTCGCGTTACATTCTTTTCTGAAGATACTTTTAAAAAGCTGAAGAACATACTATTGTAGTGTTTGAACTACCGACAGCAAATGAAATGTTCATTGTGTATAGAAAACGAAGTTTTAGCATATTATAACTTGAATATGAATTTGGCCTCTGGTGAATGGGAAAGCTTTAAGATTAACATGTAAATGATCTGTTAGAAATGCAATCGTTGGTCAGTTGTAGTGACCGTAATGACAAAAAGAACTGACAAGAACAGAAAAATTAAACACGGGAAGGTTTGATTAGCAAAAAGTAACAAACGAAACGAAATTACATGCTTATATGAGAATCTGAACACGTTTAAAACGTTTTACAGTATCATTAGTGTTTTCTGATGGCTTCATCTGTCAAAGATATACAAAACAAGACTTCTACATTATCAACAAAAAAACGAATAAATAAATGTTGACGTGACTTCATTAAAACGGAGTAAGACGTTTTGTGTCTCAGTCGTCGGCCACGATGGACAGCGCGCGCAACTCGTTCAGTTTGGCCTCGTTCTCTTGCTTTCGCTGTTCATCTGTCAGAGCGCCCTGGTCAATCTGATCCGTCAGTTCAGTGAAGATATTGTGCGTCTCGGTAAAATAGGCCACCTGACAGAAAACAAAGGGAAAGAAAGGTCAAGTAAACACACATTTCCAGCATTAAAATTAAAAAGACACAAAAATATGACATTTCAAGCTGGAGTTTTACACCTTTCCAATTAGAGTGTTCAGAAAACGTTAAATTGCAATCAAGTAAGACTTGCTCCGTTTCTTTGTCACTTTACACCACAACACAAAGCCACTTAGAGAATTAATGCGCATTAGTGGTGTAATTGGTCATTTTTATGTATCTTATCTTCATGCAGTCACAGGAAATGATGGGAAAAGTAGTTTTGCAGTACAATATAGTAAAAATACAGCTGCATATGATCAATACCACCTAGCATCTGACATGATTCATAATGGACACGCCCCTAAAAGTCAAAGCCATGCCCTTGTATTCACACACCCTTTGAGTTGGAAACTCAACAAAACCCCCAAGTTTCCCATTGACAATTACGCCACTGTGGTGGTCTTCATCATGTACATATGTGACCCTGGAGCACAAAAGCAGTCATAAGGGTCAATTTTCAACATCATCTGAAAGCTGAATAAATAAGATTTCCATTGATGTGTGGTTTGTTAGGATCGGACAATGTTTGGCCGAGATACAACTATTTGAAAATCTGGAATCTGAGGGTGCAAAAAAAAAAAAAAAAATCTAAATATTGAGAAAATCGCCTTTAAAGTTGTCCAAATGAAGTTCTTAGCAATGCATATTACTGATCAAAAATTAAGTTTCGATATATTTACAGTAGGAAATGTACAAAATATCTTCATGGAACATGATCTTTACTTTAATATCCTAATGATTTTTGGCATAAAAGAAAAATCAATCATTTTGACCCATACAATGTATTTTTGGCTATTGCTACAAATATACCCCAGCGACTTAAGACTGTTTTTTTGCTCCAGGGTCACATATGATGATTCTGACAGGACACAGCCCTGACCAACCTAAAATAGAAAATGACTGCATATCTGAGGCCATTGCTGGGTTTAATTTGTATATGAAATCACTTTATGCTAAATAAAGAACTTGACTTTCACAAACAAGGGATTTTCTTCACTCCCGCTCAAAAAGGAAAACCAAACTCATCCTATGCTACGGCACAGAGATAATGCTCGTGGGTAGCAGGTGACCCTGATCTTCTGCGATCGTTGTGTGAGCGAGCGAGTGTCGGCTGAAAGCTTTCTTGACACGTCCCGCCCCTACTCTTCCCCCGGCCCGTGAGTCAGGGGTCCCGCGAGAGACGCTTTGATGATTAATAGCCTTTAATCACATTACAAGACTCCAGGAGGAGTGGGCCGCCATCGAAAGCACTGGGAAATACAGCTGCTCGGCTCGCAAACCTACACACAGCACATTTATTCAAGCTGCTTACTGTATGTGTGTGCTCACAAACAAATCCACGTCTACTATAGCCTTAAAATTCTTTAAACATTCTCAAGACAATACGAGTGGAGTTTGTCAGTGCAAAACTCGCCACCATGTTGCTAGGGTGTTGCTACAGTATGTTGTTTTTAGTAAGTATTTTTTAGCATGTGGTTCTGAATGGTTGCTAGGGGGTTTCTTACTGGTCCACCTCCAAGTCACCTAATTTTAATATTTTGTTAAAGGGACAATTCACTAAAAATGTAATTCCTGACATCATTTACTCACCCTTATGTTCGTCCAAACCTGTATCTTGAAAGAAAATTTTGACTAAGTTCATACAATAAAAGGCAAGGGAGTGCAAAACATAATATTAAACCCTACTGACTTCCATTATACAGACAAAACAAAAACACAAAATAAAATCCAATTATAAAGGTATGTCGCAAGTCATACGAGTTTGGAATAACATGAGGGTGAGGGTTAACTATAACTGTAAGGGTATGTACAAATCACTGACCCTAAATATGAGCAATATTAACAGTGACACTTCATTTAGCAATACCACTATAAATGTTTCTGAAAAGAAGAGGCCGTAAACGCAAAGTCTGAGTGGCTAAAGTCTGTCTATAACATGGGGCGATCAATCTTAAAAGCCATTTCCTCTTTGGTCTTGTTAGCTAGAGATACGCTGCAGAATTTCGATTGATGAATGCAACTCAACTCCATTGTTCACATAAGAGCCATTGAGTTCAGACACCCACGGATTGCAAAGACACTTTTTAGGGTTTTTGTAAGGCACATGTATAAATGCGGCACCAAACTCTCTTTTGAATAGATTGAGTAAACTGCCTCTGGGATTGCTCGAAATGACTTCAGACTCTAATCAAAGACTCCACGCTGGCCGTCAGTGGCACTCTGTGATCTATGAGAGGCCAGTTCCTGCCCAGTGCTGAATGGAAGCGGATACTGGTCTGTCCTGTTTATGGTGGTCTCACCACATGAAGAGCGGAGAGGGGATCTGTTTGCCGTGCAGCACGTGGGGCTGGAAGGAAAACTAGTTCAGAGGAAAATCCGCCTTGGACCTGTCAGGGATCAATCAAAACAACCAATGAATGATGCCGCCACACACAAGCTAAAACGCAGGTACGGCACCGTATTTATGTCTGCGCTTCAGGCGGCACGCCCACAGACGGTTCAATGAGCCTTATGATACATGTTGCACAGACCGGAGCTTTATTAAAACGGCAAGCTCTAATTTGATTGGTTGGTCTTACACGTAAAAATAAAGGTGCTTCAAAACGTTCTTCAAGCGATGCCATAGAAGAACCATTTTTGGTTCCACAAAGAACCATTCAGTCAAAGGTTCTTTAAAGAACCATCTCTATCTTACCTTTTTGTAATCTGAAGAACCTTCTTTCACCACAAAGAAGCTTTTGTGAAACAGAAAGGTTCTTCAGATGTTAAAGGTTCTTTATGGAACCATTTCGACAAAAAGGTTATTCTATGGCATCGTGAAGCACCTTTATTTTTAAGAGTGTAGGCAGCTTTTGGGAGTTAAGGTCTGTAGAAACTACAATTCAATTATTTAAGTTTGTGTGTTTCGTGCCATCATACGTTTCAGTAGTTTAAGGCAGTTAGTAGCAAGAAAACGTGGCATCCTCAAGAACTGCAGAATCCTGATTCAGAGTTAAGTCCATTAAACAATCGGTACTTATTACTTTCAGATGGAAGTATATTCTGACCACAAAGTCAACACACATTTCCAGTCATTCCTTTGCTGCTGTCTGTTTAACTACTTGTGGAGACAGCTGTGCCATGATTCGAATGAGATACCACACCAATCTATTATTGTGGTTTCGTCGATTTTAGATTTATTGCCCTTTAAAAATCACACACAGAAAAAACTAAATCAAACTGTGGTCTTCGTTGAACAAATCATACAGACAGACCCTTCCTGTTTAAGCGGGTGATTCTTGACCAGAAAAAAGCTTCAAAGGGAATTAGTATTTATGCTTCTGTCACACACACACTAATATATTCCAAACACATGCCTAATTAACTAATTAAACATATACACACAAATTGTAACACTGTGTAACACACTGTCTACACTGTAAGCCACAGACATCCAAAACTGATTCTGTCTACACATTAAGCATTACATCACCTCAGAATACTCAATAACCACGGACCAATAAGCTGTAAACACAAGGCTACCTATTAAGTGTCAATAAAGTGAACGCAAAATTTGGTAAGCATGTTTCAGCATTGGAATGGAAATCCATTTAGAACAATTTGTAAAACTGTCCATTCATCCATTCTTTACACCACTTGTCCTCTGTAGGGTTGCAAGGATGCGGAAGCCTGTCGGCCAAGGCCGGGAAAAACGGGATGGATGGCCAGTCCATTGCATGGCTAAAGCTAAAGTACACTTTCCTTATTCGCATTCCACTGCAGCTTGAGGACATTAAGCATGATAGAATTTTTATCATCACCACAGTCCGCTGTTGTTGTCCAGGACAACAACACGTGTGAGTAATTTGGGTGCTCAAAAACAAAAGGTCTAATAAGGTAGTGTCAATAGACTAAACAAGTCCATCAGCGCTCACGGTCAAAAGAGAATACTCCGTTGGAGATGTAACGGAACATGGAAAATGAAGTATTGCCAGGACTTAAACTCAGACATACACGCATTCATATTCACACCAACTGACAATTTAGTGTTTTCAATTAACCTGACCTGCAAGTCTTTGGATTACGTGGGAAAACTCAAGGAAGTTGGGACATTATTGCTGTGAAGTCACAGTTGTGTAAAGTTTGTTGATATTGTAAAATTACCCATGTGATGTTAGTATCCCAACAATCAATGGACCTGCTGGATTGGGTCTCAAGCTGTTCTTTAGCATACCGCCACAAGAATTGTTGAATTTGATGCACCATCATTAGAACACAAAGCATTTCTTGAGACCCCGGCATTCTCTTCATTCCAACACACTCTGTCTAGCTCAGGGGTTTCCAACCCTGCTACTGGAGAACTACCTTCCTGCAGGCTTCAGTTCCAACCCAGCTCCATCACACTTGCCTATAATTTTCAAGTAATCTTGAACACCTTGATTAGCTGGTTTAAGAGTGTTTGATTAGGTTTGGAAGTAAACTCTCCAGGATGGTATCCCTCCAGGAGCAGAAATGGCTACTCCTGGTCCAGCAGTTTCTGAAAGACAGAATGTGTCCTATGTAAACGCCCAATAGGGTGACAATGTAATTATCTGCATCATTCACTTTGAGTACATCACCATGGGGAATCAGTGTTTGCTGAATGCATCTAGAGTAGACACAACGCATGTATTGTTGTATTGTTGTAGACCATCTCATAACACTGAAACTGCACTCAGAGTAACAAATGACTTGCTCTAGTGTTGCTGGACCTTAGGACCTTAGTTGATACTATCGACCACAACATTCTCTTGGATAGGCTCAACAATTATGTTGGAATTACTGGGATTGCATTGGCATGGTTCAATTCGTACTTATCTGGCCATTATCAATTTGTAGCAGTCAATGAAGGGGTATCATATCGATCACAAGTTTTGTATGGAGTACTGCAAGTCTCAGTACTAGGACCGCCATTGAT